TTTCCAAAATTCTTTCACTGATAGATAGCTACGATATTCCTGAGTGCTATAGGCATAAAACATTACGCTACGATCTGTAGGAGCTGAGCAGCGGGCGAAACCGCGTGAGAGTAGCTAGTTTATAATATATATATATATATATATATGTATGTATTCTAAGCCCGAATATACGGATCTTCGTTAATATTATAACAGAATTCAAAATTCAATTTTTTTTTTTTTTGTAAATCATAAATAATACAGTTCTTTTCAATCACATTTATTTCAAGTTAATTAAATATTCCCTTATTTTTTGTCCCATCTCTAGTCTAATGCGACGTATACTGCATAATTCTATAACTGGGAAAGACTTAATACAGAGTAGTTGCTCAACTTTTAGCTTTGAGGAGACCTCGTTCGTCTTTTAAGGGAGCTCGACGTCCTAATCAAGCTTTGGATTGTGTACTGCATCCTCATTATATAGGCTTCATTCAGTTTTCTCTAAAGGATCTATAAAAAGAACTCCCAAAACGACAGTAACAAGACGTCCTATACGCAAAGCGGATTCGTATAATTTATATGTATGCAGATTAAGAAGCAGTTAATAACATAAGACAGTTAAATATTCACGTTAAATGAAACCTGTTGAAGTGTATTACTGTAATCCTGTATAATAGGATTACGAAATTAGGGGAAAGAACCTTGACAGTACAAAAAAAACTACCAGTTCATCATGACTTCGATTAGTACAGCTTTACTTAAACGTTGGAGCTCAAATTATGCTGGCTTTATTGTAGATTCTACAAGTATATCTTGACCTTCATCAGTATAGTTTTACTTAAAAGCAAGAGCTCAGTTTAGGCTGGTAATTTTTACGTATTTTTTTGGGTAGAAAAGTAAGGTTTCGCGGCGCGGTGCCAGTGACAGCGATTCCGAGCCATTCTATCTCATTAAGCTTTCTTATAGTGCGTTATTACATGTCAACGTCAACAAATAGTGGATGACATCAGCAGTATTTTAATTATGTTTATCACCTCATACCGCCACGCGTAAGGCTTCTCTTGATATTAATACGTATTTACTTAAATACCACAGTTTTTAAGGGAATTCATAATGGGAGCGAGATATTTATAAATATGTACATAATGTTTAGCAACTCAGCTCAAACGAATTACGTTATTTTATCGATATAATACTGACATTGTGAAACCTATTTTGTTTTTTTTACTTTGAGACGGTGCGGTGAGAGTGTTTCAGACTCATACTCAACCCCCATGTTCCTTATCTTACTATTGTGATTTAAAGTAAAATTTCTTTTGATATAACAAAACAGGCAATATTCTTTATACTACACCGATTATTTATAAAAAAGAAAAAATAACACCTATTTTCCTTTACCATCCAACCTGAATGGTCGCTCCAATTCTCTATCCCTGTGACCAAACTTAACTCTAACCAAATATCGCGAAACATTTTTTCTAACCCGCTAACACTAGCACCGCACCACATCCTTGACTCAATTCACTGCTAATGTGAATTTTCAATGTTAATTACATCGAAACTCTACAGTTTGGACACAAAGCCTTTTTATGCCAAATCTAGGGTCAAGGGGACCATCCATTGTTTTAAAACTGCGACCATTTTACATAAAACAATGAAAAACAGTCAATGTTTGAATTGACATTCGTGTATTTTGTGTTAAAATTGTATAGGTGGATAGAATTATCTAGATTTTTATGTCAGCGCTTTTGGTATGACGGCAGACCCGATGTTTTTGTGTTTTTTTTTTGGGAAAATCGTCATGTTGTCTGTTTTCTCTTGCACTATGTGGGACGGAGGGCGAGTGTGACTCTTACTGACTAAAAACCTCTACATCTTTCCTGCTCCAGCCAGCTGCCAGCTCAACATAACCTTATTGATATAGGTATACCTGAGTAAATAATGTCAACAATTTGGTAGCACGAAACCCAACTAAGCATTTAATAGTCCTTTTTTAAGATTGAATGTAAAACCTTATAGCTTGTCAAGCTACCATGATTAATACAACACGGTTATCTTATTTTAGCTAATGGTATTTTTTTGTATGTGTGAATAATCATCAAATGTCTGTTCTCGACATAGTTGAGGTGATAGGGAGTAAAATACTCTTACTAATTTAAAACCACCCTGATCCTTCTCCCGCTTTAGGCCGAAGCCGCGCTTGTCCGTAACCCTGACTGAAAAACTCATATACTCAACAAGATAAAGACAACATTTTCAACAATTTGATAGCACGAAACCTAGTCCAAACTAATATTATAAATGTGAACGTAACTATGTCTGTCTGTCTTTTCTTCACGCCTAAACTACTGAACCGATTTCTGTGAAATTTGGTCATATATCAGACATAGTTTGGAACTCGAGAAAGGATATAGGATTTTAGTTTTTAAATCAAAAATCTGCAGGAAGTCACGTCATTCCACGCGAACGGAGTCGCGGGCAAAAGATGGTTAAGTATATGTACTTAGCCGTTCTTTAGCTAGCACGGTTAATACCTACATGACGGTAATCTTATTGCAGGTAATGGAATATAGAAACTATAACCAGGAGGTGACCCTAATTACTAAATTGCACAATAATTTTGTAACTGAGCTTGAGCAAAACTCATTAGTTTCTTGTAAAAAGACGCTTTATACAAAAGGCTAATTGACATTCTTAATTTTTTTTTTCATATTTACGCCAGAGTCTGTTTTTTCTTCGATTTTAACTAATATTATAAAGAGGTAAAAATTGTAAGTTTTTATGTAGGGGGTAATCCTTGGAACCGCTGGTCGAATTGCCAAAATTCTTTCATTGGTAGATAGGCACAATGTTCCTGGGTGCTATAGGCACTCCTACATTACATTACGCTACGATCAAATGGAGCTGAGCAGCCGGTGAAACCGCCCGAGAGTAGCTAGTGTAGGTAATAAACCTAATCAGGGATCTAGTTGACAATAACGATGATGATGCAAAAATTACTTACTAAGAGTTTAAGTTTGTTTTGTGGAGCATCGCCCATGACTATAAGTCTGGCACTTGAATTCCTGTTTTTAAATTGAATTCTAGAAAAGAAGCTAGGCAAACTCTATTGTTCTTTAAAAAAAATCGAAACTTTATGAGAAGTACTACAGTTATTCAACTATTTATTCATATTCTAATATAAACGAAAAAGTACATAATTATAGACGTATGTTTGTTACACTTCCGCGTGAAAACTACTGAACGGATCTGAATGAAATTTGGCACAGAGATAGATTATAGTAGTCTGAAATAACACGCAGGCTTTTAACCCTTGTTAAACTGCTGGCAAAACAAGAGAATGATACTAAAACAATAATAAACACAAAAGCAGTGGCTCTAAAATGATTATTATTCTTTAACATTCAACTGGACAATAATCAAATGACATTATGTAGTATTGCAACACGATCGTTGAGCGTAATGTCAGCCATTACGGCAGGTGTTCGGAGTGAGTAGGCAGATACTATTTATTATATACTTAAGCGAATGGCCATCTGAATATTACTATTACTTGTTGAATTATGAGTTTTACTTGGAAGTTATTTGTTTGATTGATGTTAATGTAAGACTTTATTAAATGCACGGTGGCTCGGCAACTGGCTGCCGTAAGGATGGATCGATTCCCGCGCGGAACAACTCTTTGTGTGATCTACATCGATTGTTTTTCCGGGACTGGGTGTGATTTGTATGTGAAATTGTTTGTTTGTAAACGCATCCACGACAAAGGAGAACATCCTAATGTGGGATAAAGATATTTTTTTAAATAAACTAAAAATGTTTGTATATTTGTTACACAATTATACAGAAACGGCTGGACATATTGGTCATTCGATGACGTGTAAACATAGAATCACGGGCTTTACAAAAGAGCACAACAAATTACTAAGAAATTTTACGCAAACATTTCGAATTTAATCTTAACAAATCACTACATAGTAGGTATAAAACAAAGTCGCTTTCTCTGTCCCTATATCCCTATGTACCTATGCTAAAATCGTTAAAACTACACAACCGATTTTGATGTCGCTTTTTCTTAAAAAGAAGATGGAATGATTGAAGAGGTAGGTTTATACGTATAATAACATTTAATAAATAGTGGTGAAAATTTGAATCAGTATTGCACACGTGCGGAGTCGGGGCCGGTTCGGTGATTTATATACAAAACTCGTAGGTTTGCGTTCGAAAACTAAGTTTGAATCCTAAACAGTATTAGAATGACTCATTTGTGCTTAGTCCGATTTATTTAATAGATTCAATAAGCCTAGTTTTCTTTCATTTGTATTCAGATGAAGTAGATGTTATGTTCTGTTTGGTAATATATGTATTGATGTAGCAAGACTTGTCTCATGAATTTTAGTGACTAATACGTTGTGTAAGATTTGTTTATAGGTTCGAAAATGATCAAGAAAGACCCTACTGGGTAATATAAAGCAGGTATTTTTAGAAGGCTTTACTAATCGTTGGAAGACTAAGACCTTTTTGATAGTTTGGTTTTTATTGGTTGTGTTTATTCTAAAGCGACCAACTACGTTGCAACATGTCGATATAAATTATCAAGAAAAAATTTAATTCAAACTCTTATTTATTTACTAGAAATTAAAATATATCTAAGTAAAAACTTTTACAATACTTTAAAGTAAAAACAGAGTTTTGCAGGTATCAATACCATCTGTCGAAAATATACTTCAAAATAATATTATACAAAACAGAGATGTATAAAAAAATCGTATTAAAAATATTTATCATAGATAATACAGTGACTATTCTCTAACGTAGCTCCTCATAAAATTTCATATTTTCGTTTAGGAGCGGTTAAAATACTAATATTTAAAAACTTCGGTATTTGGATACACAGAAAGCTTTAGATCTAGCATTAAAATAATGTCTTGAATTTACAATTCGATTCGCACCAAAACCTCATCAATCTTTTCTTCTAAAGCATCTTAATACCAATCAAATAAAGAGTTTATTGTACTGACCTGTTTAACAGAAGTATCCCTGGAGTCAATCTTGGCGGTAAGTTCTCGGATGTCATTCTGTAGTTCAAGCAGTCGAGCCTCGTACTCCCCTTGTGTCGTGTCCAGCCGTCGTCTCAGCAGGTGCTTCTCTTGTTCCAGTTCCTGGGAAGAAGAAGGAGATTGTAAGACATTGCTTCTATGTTTGTCAATTACTACGAGTAGCTACTCTTACGTAGCTTTATCCGCCGCTAGGCCATATCGTAACGAGATGTTTTTTAGCCTTCCTCGATAAATGGACTAATAAAATCAAAAATAATTGTTAAATTGTAGTTGCGGAGATTAAAGCGTTCAAACTAACAAACTCTTCGGCTTTATAATATGTATTAATATAGATAAAATACAATGTCTCAGTAGCTTGGATAGAATAGTTAGGATAAGAATGAAGAGGTACGGGTGAGTTAGTTTAATTAAGTATTTTTAAGGTTGACTCTTATTATTCGTTTTGATCAAAGGTTCAATGAATTTATATGCCTTATGAAATCTCAAATTGCACCTCTAAAGCCTTTACAACGATCCCGTTCATTACGTCCCCTTAAGGGAACTTTGGAAAGGACTCGTTCAGATATTTATTCTTTCTTTTCTAGATTATAAAAGCTGATGTAGTGTGCGAATTTCAAAACGCGCCTAAAATACACGTAGACTTGAAAGTACATTGAAGGCTACATTTACTTTACTTTCAAGTTAACCTAAGATTACTGAAGCAGAAGCGGCAACAATAATTTGACATAAGTAAACATTTTAATTAGAACCACTCAACTATTTAATTGTTGCGCGAGAATTAACAAAAAAGGTTTTATCATTTCCGCGGCGGAAGAACAATGTGAACGAAACATTTCCGGCCGCCATCTTTGTTTCTCATCCATTGTCTCTGGTAAAGTGTGCTATTAGAAAGCATAGACTACACATAGATTTAATTATTGTTGGTTATGGGAAATATTTGAATGGGTTAAGAAAAAAAATGAATTTCAAATGATAAATTTAATTTTAAGTTGCTTTTTTTGTTGTAAAAGTAAAAGTGGGACTAGTTGTACTTATATTTAAATATACCAGTCGTTGAATCATACAGAGATTGAGTTGTGGTATTTAGAATTATCTCTGGTTATTTTGTCTCATAAATTCTGGCTTACTGAAATGGCGGCAAAATTTGTAGAGGCGTTGTTGAGTAATCCGTTTACCGACACATTTTGAGTTTTTTCTATAAACATATGTACCTCTTTATTATTAGATTGAAATATATTTTGCAATAATTTCTAAGTACTAGACAATAATATCCAGAACAATGTAATTTAAATAGTATTGAAGTAATGAAGAAAATACATTTCTTTTTGCATTATAAGTACTGTATGTGAGTATAAACAAAAGAATATCGTCACAGTGTATTTGCTCTGTTTATGTTAATTTAGCACCTGTGTTAATAATGAATTGTTTTACCTTTTTGTATAGCTCGACTCAATGTATTTTTTATTATTATCTGTAGTTCACATAAATTTATCGATACAGAAAAGTTTAAAGGTTTTTAAATATCTGTTTTTCTTTGTCTGTGTTAGATGTCAACAACCGTTTTAGTCATTCAGAGTGAAACAACCACAGCGTTGTGTCTCGCCGTGTAATTGAGGTTACCAGAGGCACAAACCTTCCCTTCTCCCAATCCTTAAATCCCCGAAATCCTAATCTCTAAAAGGTCGGCAATGCACTCGAACTCTTTCGTTGTTGCGAATGTCCATGAACGGCGCTGATTGCTAACCATCAGGTAATGCGACAGCTTATTTGCCGATATATCACATTAAAAAACAAATGATGTTTATATAAAAGTGATTCATATCAGAATAAAAAACATATTTATTTACAACAAAAGATAATATTAAATATAAGTAAGTACTTATGCTAAATACGTAAGCGTTAGAATATATGTATATTCCACGATTCACTTTCAAGTCGTCTTTAATAAAATAATTGCAAGTGAGAGTGCCCAGCTGAGTGATGCTGAAAGTGAACCAATGTGGGCCTTATCTCTTTAATGGACGATTGACAAAAGCATACCGAACGTAAACTGGGACGCTTCAAACAAAAACTTATTCAAATATAAATACTGCGGTTGTTTTGAAGTTCAGACAAACGTTCTGCGAACATTTTCAATAACAATTCAGTTTTAGAGAAGCCATAGATACTTTGGTAATAGATTGGCGGCTCCAAAGAGGTGATACCACGGCCTCTTAGGAACATCTGTGTGGTATTGAGAAACAATGCTTGCTTTGTATTTCACTCTGCGAGTGAGGTTACCGGAGACTAAAGACAATTTTACTAGTACTAGGTACACATGGAGATTCAAATTTTGACAGAAACAGTCAGTGATTGGACAAAACGTCCTTTTGCTTGATTAGCGCCAGTCAGCCATCTTGGTGAAAAAAGAAAAAGAAACTGACATTGTGATCAATGACACAGTCGATCAATGACCCATCATCATTGCCATCAGCCCATAAGTGCCCACAGCCGAGCAAAGGCCTCTACCCAGACGGAGAAGGTGTGGGTATTAATGAACACGCTTGCCTAATGCGGTTTGGCGATTTCAAACGTATAATAAAAAAAATATAATAACAGGTTCCCTTCAGGTAGTTTTCCTACACCCTATGTAAGTGGTGTCATAATCTAAGAAAGTAAATATAACTCGGAAAAATATGAAAACGGAGCTCCCTAAGCTCCTAGCCATCACGACGTAGACAGTCGGTCTACTTAAAGAAAGTATTTCTCTAAAAACATACGAGTAAACAATTCATTGTCACAACTTTGCATTGTCTAAGTAAAAGTTGGTAGTAAACATGTGAAATTGCTCCAGATACTGCCTACCTACCCACTTATCACAAATGATGATTATCTCGTACGGTTCAGAAGTTCACATAAGTTGACAAGCCTAGCAGGGAATTGTGTCACTGAACATCGAACAATAACTTTCAAAAACCTTATTTCCATTGCACTGTTGATTTTCTAATGTTTATGTGTAGTTCTAGTTATTGTGTAGATGACAGCGTTGTCGCTTCCCCTCCCGCAATCTCTCCTCAATTCCAAAATCTCCAAATCCCTAATGGAAAGGAGCTACGAGTGCGTTGTCGACCTTTTGGAAAAAAGGAAAAACGACAACGCACTCGTAGCTCCTCCGTTGTTGCAGGCGCCCATGGGCGGCGCTGATTGCTTACCATCAGGTAATTCGTAAGTTCGTTTATCATGGTATCATATAATGCTTTTTTATTACGTATCTAAATGACGAATCAAATAGATTTTCTTTCTGTTTTTATTATAATATATGTATTATTACTTTTAGACAATACTGAATAGATTACCGAAATGACACTGCACACAAATTTCTTCAGTTATAATTAAATAAAGACACCATTTTTTAATACCCTATATAACCCGCGTAACTGTTTTCTTTTTGTCAGGGGAAATGATCAGTTGTCCCCGCCCGCCCACGGTGAGGCAAGAGGGAGTGTCAAACTTTTACTGACTAAAAACCCCAGTTCCTTCTCCTGCTTTAGGCCGAGGCCTTGTGCCTCATTGCCCTTACCCTACAACAGCGGTTGATAACTGTTAAATCCGTCATTACTTTTTGATACCGCCTTTGTCTTAAAACGCCAATGATCATCGTAATATGACTTTTTGTCGATTCTCCTATCAATATGTCAAAATGCCTATACGAATATACGTACATATTTTTTTATGTAATACCGCGGCAAACGAGCCTACCGATTATGTGATAGTAAGCTATCCGCGCGCCCTTAGACATCCGAAACACCAGAGAAGTTTTGGCGATAAGGGGTTTTTGGCATTCAAGGATTAGGGGAGGCTAGCGAGGAGGGAATGGATTGTTTAATTGATAAGTACTTTTAAACAAAGCCATTTTTATAAATTGAAGGCAGGACTAATCGAGTATAGATTGATATTATATTTAAGTGTGGAAGAACCATGCTTCGGCACAAATGGGTCGGCTCGACTGGAGTGATACCACGGCCTTACAGAAAACCGGCGTGAAACAACCACAGCGTTGTGTTTCGCCGTGTGAGTGAGGTTTTCGGAGGTCCAATCCTTCCCCTTCCCGAATTCCTCCCCAGTCGTTAAATCTCCAAATCCTTAATCCCGAAAAGGTCGGCAACGCACTTATAACTACTCCGTTGCGGGTGGCACTGATTGCTTACGATCAGGTAATCCATCTGCTCGTTTGCCAATTACATAAAAAAAGACATAAATACAAACATACATTCCTACATATTAATGATAACCAAGTGTAGTAATACATATTGATATAATAGACAGTTAGATCCCATATAGAATTCTAGATGATGTATTAGGTTGCGCGTGCGACACTGCGCGTGAGGCGTCGTGCGCAAGCACAAGACTTGTCGCTTCGTCATCTATGTCCAAACGTTTGAAACAATACAGGCACGTATTTAGTGTAATTGTGTATCAAATACTACACTATTTTTTTAATATAATAGTAGCTATAACTCTTATTATCAGATACAATCCCTAAATGTGCAAAATGTTGGTGAAATTCATTATAAAACATTGAGAACTTTAATTAACAATGTTTTACCGATTCGAAAAATCAAATGTGTTGATGAGTTATAAAAAATACAGAAAGTTAATTAAAAAAACATTTAAAGACCCTCTCGCAATTCAGCGCGGTAACTTCTTCGAACAAATTACTGCAGTACCTAATCTAGAAATTAGGGCCTAATATAATACAGTAACTATACAGCGCTGGCATAATCGTTTAACTAAAACTAAAAAAATAATATATAATCTACATATTTTATCCATAAGTGCAATCCGGGCCTGTTAACTCACGCATACAATACGCTGCGCCGGCGCACGGCACACACACGCGCAACTGTCTGCCCGTCTTGATACACTTTCACTGATAATCATAATTTACCAATAGTTTCAATTACTACACGTACCTGTGTGTGCGTGGTCCGGATCGTAACGTTTTATTATATAGAAATTTGACTAGTTTGTTAAGATTATTTTGAGGGAATTATATTATGCATCTAATGTACTGTAACTACAGAGTCATAAATTTAAATTAAAATCTCCCAGATCCCAGTCGATGATTTTCCCCCCTGTTCCTTTCAATTGGCTGCGGGAAGTCACCAAACGCCCACGAATAAGAGTCCCGTTTTGACTTGAAACTAGTAGAGCTTTGCTCAGTTAATTCTCGTAAGCCGTTATTTTCAATAGATTTTCCCCACTTAAAAAGGGTTCTCTGATAAACTTGAACCCATTAAACTGCGATCTTCGACCAGGCCGCTGTTTTAGATATATTGGCAAACTTCTATTATGCAAGAAAAGTATATTCGTCCAGCATTGGACTGTCACGGGTTGTGGACGTTGATACCTCTGCTATCTGTACAATAAACCTTGTTGATCGACAATTAGGTTCATTTTTAGTTTCTCATGCAATGAAGCCTATTTTGTAAAGTGGCATTGGTCTGTTATATCTCAAAGCCATCTTTTAGCACACTAAAGTCAAGGCTACAAAATAAATGGCCAGGAAATATAACAGTGTGGACCGATGTTTGTCAAACTTGTTTTTGGTAGCATAATGACATTAAAATGCTGGCCGATTGATAAAACTACCTCTTTGGGTCAGTGGCCTTAAGTACCTACAATAGATTAAATAGAATAGAATTCTTTAGAGAAAACCAAATTGTGTCTACTCTTAAATATAGTACAATGTTAAAAAGTAACACTTGATCAGGTATTGTCAACTTTACTTATGAAAATAAAATAGTACTTATTACAAACTTGCCAAAAGTAAATTAAAACTGATTTTTTTCTACTAACTTAATCACTTCTTTAAATTTGAGCTCGGTATTGGTACTACTAGGTAGCCCATTTAAAAAATTAAATGAAATTAAAATATAAATATACAATTTTACTGAGACATGCCCATTTTGTAAATCAAAGAGATATGTACCTCAAATAAACAACACGACAGTCACTATAACACCTTTGTTTAGCAAATATTTAATTTGATTTGATTTGATTAATAACACAAGGAAGTGCAATACATTATTAAATAGCAAAAGACGTTTTACACAAAAATATACTATTACAATCTTATGATTATTGGATGAAGGTTTTTTTTTACAACAAAGAGCATTGCATTTATATCTAAATCTAACCTTACCTAATCACAAAGAGATGAACAGTTTGAGATATTTTTTCTGATGTAAAATGACTAAGTACAGATGTCCGTGGTGAGCTGATGAGCTAATCCTTTTAAATCACGAATTACTTGTAACATCACGAAGTTATAAATAAACATGATCTTATCATTTAAAATCTAATTTGTGAGAAGATCATTTAGTTACGTAAATTTGTTAAATTTTGATAAGTATTTATTCTTGCATTAACTAAAGAAAAATACTCTAAGATTAAATGTTCTTAAAGTTATTTTAACGGTCTTGACAAATCATACACTTATTATTATCCACCAGAGTTATTATATTCTATATGACTAATTTAGTCATACTTATTTGATACACTTGTTGGCGCAGTGGCTGGGCAATTAGCTGCTGTCCAACGTGTCACGAGTTCGATTCCCAGACGGAACAACACTATGTGTGATTCACTAATTGTTTTTCTCAAATTTGGACCAGACCAGACAGGTCGAAATTTCTATATTTGTAAAACATACACACAGGAGGAAGTCTTACTATGGGTATCGTTTGAAAAAATGTATTTACTTAACATAAATATTCTGATTACAAACTCCTTTTGTTATTTACTTTAAAATATCATAATACTTATTTTTAATTTTTCACCGTATCTCATTCTCAAACAAGCTTCATATTGCTCTCACATATGCCCAACGGCATAATTTACTAACTTCATAACATAATTTCTTTATTGCCAGTACGAATGGTAACTGTACTGCACTTTCATCTTTATATCTAGGCGACACACATTCCTAGGCGCGAATTAGGGACACCACTGATTACAATCAGCATTGCCAATACAATTAAAATTGTATGCAAGATGTAAGTTGTAGGCGGCGGCGGGAGAACTTTGAGAAACTGTGTTGACAATTCGAATTTTAAATTTTATACATCTTTTTATTTTATGGTTTTAAATTTGTTTTAAAATAAGAACGCGTTCTTATTTAAAAACAAATTTAAATTGTTTATAATGAGAATTTATTTTGAAATATTAATAAGATTTTGATTCAAATATTTTTTTAAGGAAATCGCAGCTTGTGTCAGTTTAGAATATGATGAAATAGGTACGTTCACCAAAAACATCATTTAGGTTTCTACCTACATATGTTAACACGTATTATTTATATCATTGACAAGAAAACATAACCACTCATTTAATATACTTCCCTTCTCTCAATCATAATTCATATTCCAACACGAAACACCAAAATTTCCACATCCCTTCACCATTATCAACGAAAAACAATAATAATGATTATCTCACAATTACATCGTATAATCAAAATTCCTTTATACAAATCTGTGCATATTTATGCACCGCCACCATCAGATCTCCCATGAATTGCACCATAACATAAAGGTCACACGAACCGCTTAAGCAATGGCTTCCGTAAAAACGTGGCATTGTTTCGTTACAACATGCGTAAGCGCATTCGAATCATGTTTTGTTTGTCTGAGAAGCAGATTGGCTGATCATTGTTTTGTGATTTGTTTGTAATAAGATAACGTATTATTCCGTTTTTGTATATGAAGTATCGTAAGCCATATATTAAAGTAATTTGAAATTACGGCAACGCAGAAAACCGGCGCGAAGTAATACTTAGTGATTGAGGTTACCGGAATCCCCTATTCTCAAATCCCTTATAACCTACTAAATGTCTACCCTACCATTCTCAATCATCAGCCGAGGTTGCGGGGTAAGCGCAATGGGGCACCACGACCGGCCCAGAGCAGGATAAGGAACGGGGCTTTTAGTCAGTAAGAGTCTGACACTCCCTCTCGCCCGGGAGAACTCATTTGATGATTTTCTCCTCACCAAAAGAAGATTCTCAATCCTTTAGTCCCCTTTTCTTAAATACCTAATAAGCCACTTAACGTCCTCCCCCCACCTTTCTCAATCCTTAAATCCCTAATAATCCACAAAATTTTCCCGCCCTCCGCCATCCTTAATCCTCAATTCCCCTATCCTTAAATCCCACAAGAGGCCGGCAACGCACTTGTAGCAACTCCTTTGGTATCATGAGTGTCCATGGGCGGCTCTAATCGCTTACCACCAGGTAATCCGTCTGCTCGGTTGCCGATCTATGATATTAAAGACGGATTTACTTTCGAAGGTTTTGAATCAACATGTGACACTCTCTCTCGGCCCAAGGAGAGCGAGAAAAAACACTGGACGATTTCCACTAAAAATAAAATAAAAAAGCTACTATAAACGCTAAATTTAACAGAAGACACAGGGAATTAAGAAAACATCTTTTCTATCTTAATAAGAACTCAAGTTTCCATGAAGCTAAGCCCATTATCTCACAAGATCCCGCTTATAAAGCTTTTAAAAGCAATCTTACTAGTGTGAACTGTTAAATACAAGATAAACCTCGCTAATAAACATTCCCGTTACAATTTCAGTTACAAATCTCGCAGTTAAAGTACACTGTTACTTTAATTATAAGCTATAACTTGTTTTTAATTGCTAATGAAGTTGTAAAATGGACGTTTTTGGATTTGAGTAAAGTTTGTAGGTTGTTCACACAATAAGCTGCCGTCTGGTGTATGGAGTTCGCAAAGAAAAATGAGTTCATAGTCATTGTCTTCGCAAAAGTTATCATAAATCACTACATAGTATAAAACAAAATATATTTTTCTGTCCCTATATCCCTATGTCGTTTTAAATCTACGCCACGTATTTTGATGCGCTGTTTAATAGATATATAGTAATTGAAGAGGAAAATGTATACATATACATATGTTTAATAACATCCAATAATTAGTGGAGACATTAAGTATCAGCATTTTATACGTGCGAAGCCGAGGCAGGTCGCTAGTACAAATACAAACCAATACATATATACAAGCAATAAATAATCCATAAATAACATGATTAAATATGTAACAATTTAAAATAATTAATCAACAATAAATAAATAAATACAGACTTCTTATAATCGTTAACATGACTTGAGATCTCATCTGCAGTTTGCAGTAGCAGTAATTATTAACTCGACAATTAGCTGAGTCTGTAATTACGGGAGTTAACGATCATTGTTAACTGTTCGTAATAGATACATTATGTAATAATAATTGTGCATTGTAGTTTGTGACAGTCTTAAGTTGGTATTGGGAGTAATAAAGATGCATTGTTTTGGTAATAAATTGAAACTGTAAACCTATGTAATTAATTATCAATCCCCTTCCCGGACCATTCCCCAATCCCTAAATCTCCAAATCCCTAATCCCTAAAAGGTCGGCAACGCACTCGTAACTCCTCCGTTGCGGGTGTCCATGGGCGGCGTTGATTGCTTACCATCAGGTAATCCGTCGGCTCGTTTGCCGACTTATTACATTAAAAAAAAAATTATAAGCACACTCCTACACACTACTGTACCAGTTCTGGAAAGCGGGGCCTCCTAGCACAGGCATTCTTCATACTTAAAAGGAGACCCCTACGTAAGATTTATTGTAGAAGTTCAATTTGCTGAATAAAAATTGTTATTATAATATAAATTAGAAACAAGAATGGGAATCGGTTTGTGGATAAGGAACGTGGTGATTTTTAGTCTAACACTCCTCTCGCTTAACGCAGGGTGGAAGAAATAATTTGATAAATCCCCTCCCTCCCACAATAAAAGAAAGCTCTTAGCCAATTCAATTGAAAAGGCATTGTGTATGTCAAAATTGTTTGTTTGTAAATGTACACACGACACAGGA